AAACAAATAATAAAATTCGTGTAACCTTATATGATCTTGTAAGTCAACAAAAATTTTGGGAAATGTCCAGTGACTGCATTGACTGTAGTCACTATCTGCCTACTACTATAGTCACTAGTAGTTTATTGCCAAAACCGTTTTATATAAAAATTGCCCCATCTATGGTCACACTTATTAATAAATCTCCATATAATTCCTATAATATATAATACAAAAACTGTCTATAGTTTAATTTAGAAATATCACTTGCAACCCCTTTTCTCCAAATAGCATAAGAAATTTTTTAGCTCTATGGGTTCAAATTAGCACTGGCCATTTTATTGCTTAGCAGAATTTCTCCGTGCAAATATGACTAGAACTACTATAATATGAATTGATACCCATTGATGACCATGGAATGATCAATCATGAACACACATTAAGGCTTAACACCAAATATCATTAAATGATTGCTCAAGACTACCGTAATTAGTTGCTGTAGCTTGTTGGAGAAAAGGAGGAGGAAGTAATTTTGCCATAGTAATAGACACTACTCTATGGTCCTAACACCGAGTCATTACCTGTTTGAGGAGCAGTTAGTCACTCCTGCAAACGCATTTGCTCGCTCCATAATAATAAACACACTTGCTCGCTCCACTTTGTCTTTCCGTCTTCTAAATCCTTTTCCTTCCTCTCCAAGTTCGCCAGCTCGCCATTCCAATTAGGCTGTGCCTTTCCACTCCTCAGGTCGTCCAGTCTGTCCAACCGCTTCTTCGCGTCTTCTAACTCTTGTTAGTATTAGTATGAAGATGCATAACTTAACCGCCGATCAGTGGCTTAACCAATGACGTATTTTCTACAATGATCATCCGTAGTATATGATGTGATGTTGTCAAACTCCTCTAAATGCATCTCCTCTAAATGCATAAATCCTCTAAGGGCATACTTTTGTCTGGTCCCGAGTTCGGACTTATCTGTTATTGCATACACTCTGCAATATGCAATCAATTTTTATAGTAATAGTATCCTAAAGCATATCACGTGACGTATTATATCAATGGCAATTCTAAAAATGTAATCAGTCACAGTAACAAGTCTAATTTATCGTTTTTGTACAAGCGATTCTACCTTCAATCTTTCTAATACACGGCCAACCTTCATTATATTTGAATGATTTATAAAAGACCGTGTCTTTTCTACCAACAATTGATCTGTCAGTGGTATTTGCCCTTGAGCTCAGCAAGCATCATTCCAGCAGTGCTTTCTCAGTTCGGGCACGTTTCTGGAGGGGCTTGTGCAATTTATCTAGATTTAGCAATCGAGATATTGTTGCTTGATCGGTTTAACTTTTAACATCATTCAACAAGATCCTTTTGGGTAATATTTGGGTTATTCTGCTTTTTCAAGCAAATTTCACGTCTTTGAATATTTGTCAAGGTCGTTTTCGTCACGGAAATATATATATATATTTATTATCAACTTGTAAAAAAATTTATCGTAAATTTTTATCGAAAAAGATTGCATTTGCTCCACATTATGTGATTATCCTCTAAATGCATAACTCCTTTTAATGCATAAAATTCTGCGGTCCCGACAGGTATGCATTTAGAGGAGTTTGACTGTATTAAAATTATTGGATATCGACATGTGATTTTAGCAGTTTAGGGTTAGATTGTAAATGTAGCCAGTATATTTATTACAACCATTGCAGTGTTCAGCGTGAAGATAGTAATAGAGTTACGACTTTAAGTAGTAATAATAATAGTTGAATGTATCACAGTCTATTCTATACGTATAATGATTCTCATCGATTTAAATCAGATTATCTGTTAGTTTGTACTAACTAATATGAAAATGGGTTTATAATAATCGGTCAATTTATTATTCGACGTCAACAACTTCCTCGTCTTTATAATTATTAATGTAAAGGATACATTTATTTTATTATCAATACTCATATTAGTTCCGACCTTCGTTAAAATGGGATTGTTTTCCTAAGCTTGGTTCTATATAAATCGCACAACAACAACATTATAATGTTATATCGTGAGATTGATAATGATAATAGTCACCCAAATATAAATTAAGCAAGAAAAATGTTGTATTTAAGACGACTCTTTATAAATATAGTACGTAGAAAAACTGTTAGTTAGACAATTGTTATCATATTGCATAGATGCTTTTGTTGTCGATGTCATCACTATCATAGAGATTAATTTATACGCGTGACTTATCGGACTTTTTAACCGGTGAAAAAAAAAAATTTTACTGCGTGCACTCCGAAATGTTACACTAATACTATTGTTCTTATTACGGAAACAATTACGACAGCCGCAATATGATGTGGTGTGCTACACTAAGCAAAATATATCGATACCCCTTTATACTCTATAGTCACAGATTCTCACACTTCTTATTGCATAGATAACAACATTTATACTTATAAGGATGCGTGTGACAGCAATTAATTGATACCATTTAACACGCGAACACGCGTCTACTCATGTGTGCGTTTTTGTTATTTGTGTTATCGCTATCATAGAAATCAGTTTAATTAAATCTATACGCGTGACTTGTCGGACTTGTTCACTATGTAAATCCCGTTTGGGGTCCCTAAAAAATCGTATTTAAATGGTGATGGGATTCACATACAACATGTTTAACAAGCACTTATTTGGATGTTATAAGACTAATGGATCAAAAGTTAGTAATACAATACAACATTATTAAATGTGAAACGCGTACCTATTATTATTATACAGTCCCCGGCGAAAATAATGGCGGTGACAGTGACAATCGTTTTAAAAATTCAATACAAAAATCGGTTATCTGCTATTATAGTAATATGTAATGTATTATTACTTTTCTTATTTACTTAATATGTCAGGCATGATTAAAAATACCCTTGTTTTTATATTTGCATTTTAATGATCTCAGTGAGATTTGGATTGACTATAAACTTATAATAACAGTCTTAGATTTATTATAAGATGTTCGCGTTTTTAGACTTGTTAATTAAAAGTTAGAAGATTACAAGTCAAAAAATATATTTTTTGCCTGATACAATCCAATCTGTTAATGTAAAAAAGCTTTTACATTTGCTTTTTGTTACTCAAAATTTCATTCATAATATTAGGTTTAAATTAATATAGATCTAAAAGGAAGCCACTTTTAATCTTGGTTTTTTTGCAAGTTATAATGTAGTCTTGAACTTCTGTTAAATAAAAAAAATTTTAAAAATAATAAAAACAAAATTGATATATTAAAATAATACTGGCTATTATTTTCGCCAGGGACTGTATCAACCCCTCCACATTCTAAATTGATAACTTGTTCGCCCTGAAGTCGATGACTAGCTTATTTTGTGAATAAATTTATTAGACCAGTAATGACAATAATTTGCGTAATATTTATTGTATTAGACACAGGATAGTGTGTTCCAATTTGATTAAAACTTGCTTATAAGAAGATTGAATAAATATCGACTACAATCCGAAGTCGAAAAAGTTAATAATACTGAATATTTATAACCGTATTGTTCCATCTTGTCTTTATACCTGAAATTCAATTGACCTCTCACAACTATTTGTTGGTTTAGGCAGATCTCCAGTAGGTAAGAGCTTACTAGAATATTTATTCTCCTTCTCGAGACGTGACAGGGGTTTTACATCATTATGATAGATGATATTCCATATGTTGTCATCAGACCTACCCTGGTACCCCTTATCAATAAGCTTGCAAATATCACTACAAAGTGTCTCTGTATCTGGACGCTTATCAGGATCAGCATCACAACACCGCTCGGCAAGTTTCTTGTATTCCTCTGGTGCAGAATCAGGCATCG